GGCTGGGGCCCAAGAGACGAGGATTGTCGATGGTTAGAGGCGCTGGGAGATGTCATTGGAGCGATTGCTTGATTGATTGTTTAACGAAACCTCGTTCCCTATAACAGACAAAAACTGTACGGTAAAGCTATCAAAAGGTTATTTATTCATTCACTTGTTCTTTGTTTTCCCCATTTTCATTTCATCATCTTTTACCCTTTCCTACCATCGTTATCATTTTTTTGCGGTGACACCATGCTTGTTCTCAAGCCGCATGGTAGCATTTGACAAGGTGCAAAGGAGAGTGACCAACCACAACCCAATAACCCCCCAACCATACTGAGGCTTTCGGAGGTCCATTTTGAGTGGTACAGAGTCCTTGTACTGTTCGCATACATCATCATCATCATTCTACAGCGTAATACAGTAAAGCGAACCTTACCGATCGCTGCTAAGCAGATGCATACGTTCAGCAACCACAGTGCTTGGGTGATGTTTGTTGTGGTAACATGAGATAAGAAACGATTACCGTGATAATCCTGGTTCAGGTCGGGTTATATTCAACATGGGCAGCAAAAATCTCAGTTTTCTCCTATGGTTCACATAAACGATCCTCAAAGTTCTGATGTGTATAATGCGGGGCTCAACTATCCGGGATAAGTTAAACTGCAATATAATTTGCTTGAATTGTTCACTTCACTTAATCCGTTTTTTCTGTTTCCACTTTAGGCTGATAAAGATTGTGAAGTTCGCGAAAGCCCCGATGGATCTCTACCGCCGCCCACAGTGGAATCTGTATGTGACTCAAACATACCGACTACGGTAAGTAAAAAGATGATCTCGATTGAGCCTTCCGCTTGTGGCTTCTTCAAATTGCCTTCTGAAAGAATGGAATTCTCGCAGACCAGCTTCTCCTTCGAGCTACTTGCGGGATATAGCATTAAAAAACGCAGTTTTTAACTGGTGTATAGACTGTGACAGAAAACCAGTGCACAAGTAATGGCTTACCGTCATTGACAGAAATATATTCAATGCAGATTCTGATGTCGTCTGAAATCTACAGGTGTCTGATAAGGGCTTGAACAAATTGGTTGCTAACCGTGAATAAGGTGGTTCATGGAACATGCAGTCGCCGACGAGCGGCGGTGGTGGTAGGTTTATCTCTATAACATCCACATGAGTCCTACCGCAATATTGTAAATGGCAGATATTATCCACCACAAATGGGGCCATCGCTCCTCGTCCCGTTCTGTCTCCTCGTTAGGGCCTTTTACATTTAGCAAATGATCCAACCTACTAGCCATTGCACAGTCCTGCTGCTTTGCAGGTTGCCCCTCGGTTTGAAGAGTGTGAAGCGCAGACTCGAACAAGAGGATTGAGCGGTGTTGGGGTCCGCTTGTACTCCTATCCTCGGTGATCCCCTTGACTGATTGACTCATACGCTGGATAATACCATGGATCTTGGTCATCAAGGCAATACCACAAGCAGATTTTCTCGTCGGTGGGATCCGCTCCGTCTGCAGTTCATCAAACAAACATGTGTCATAATGAAATTTTAAAAAAACATATAGTTGATAAGTAATTAACATTGTTCGCACATTTCGATATAGTAATATCAGTGAATTTTTATGCACAGTTATCCGGAACTAATTTGATTGTTCAGATCAACTGCATGGTTCGTGTTGACTTTTCGTGTAATTCTAGACTGTGGGGTAACAAATGCATGGACTTTTGCGTCCGTAAAACATCATGATGCATTGAAGACGAACACTATGCACAATACGTAGTGAGCTGTAAGGCGTGAATTGCGTGCTGGCAACAGAACATTACGCGGTTCATTACCGGATCCTGCGTTGTTGCATCGCCATTACTTATTTTTTCTTTCTCCGCATGTGTTGCAGTTCTATCTCATTGATTTACTGGGAGCATAGGTCTATTAAATTCCCATATTTACGTAATTTTTTTTCCGAGTCAGTTGTTGATCAAGCCTTGTTGCTTTGCTGAAGATATCCCAGTTGCACCGGGTAGGTCATCTAAAATGAATCCCCACCTGAAATTGTGTCTGATATTGTGGTTTTTAATGTTCTTTTGGTTCTTGTTCTAGGTCACCCACCACACACAGGTGATGAGTGCAAAATCCGAGCACTCACAGAGGCGACCGATAGGTCGTGTACCGGCACCCTTCCTTAGGCGTCGTCAAGGTATATCCGCATGGTGTAGCAAAATTCGAAGGCAAGGTTTGCCCGTGTCAGAGCCGGCCGAGGAGTTACGCAAGCGCCACAACAGTAATACTTTGATTCTACCATCTCGAGCCTCCTCGGTTGCGTCTGCACGGCTCAAGGTAATTCTGCCTAGTATTTGTTTAAATCAGTTTATGCAATTCGTGGTATGCTTATAGTTAGAAGCTGCACTGTCGCTGACTATTTGCTGAATTACCCTCTCTGGTTTTGAGATTTCCAGTAATGGCTGGACGAAGTACGATGGCTGTCAGTCCGTGAGTTGGCGTAAGAGCGTGAACACGTTATCGGAGGTCTTGCCCCCGGTCTATCTTTGTCGATTACCTGGTTGGGACCCAAAGTGTGGTGACTGTCGGTTGGAAGCTCTAAGAAATATGGCCCAAAATCACAACCAAGGGCTTAAATGTTGTGATTAGTTGCTATGACTGTCTGCGGTCATCCAGATGAATGACGTATAAAAATGCATACGTGTCTCACACGAATGAGTTTCAAATGTCGCACCATGTTATTGTCCTCTGCATATGAGAAACAATGGCTCCCACTCTGATTTTATTATTTGTAGTGCTGCCATTTTGTCTAATTCAGGTTGATGTACATTTAGTGTATGTTCTTTTCCTCGTTCATACCACGTTTTTTATTCGTCCATCCTGAAGTGTTTTTTTTTGTAATTCTTACCCACAGTCAAACTCACTGAACTCTCCGAGGACGCAAAGTGCCTTGGATTGCCCTACTACCTCCATGAGAAGACCTCACGGGTTGCGGTGTGGTTTGAAACACCAAGGGAGTTCAAGCGGATCTTTGTTTGAAAACCATCCAGCCAATCCTACTATCCTGAATAATCAGGACCACAGTTTGGTGTCACGTGATGCATCGGAATTACATCCAACACAGCAAACAGCGCTGGGCGATGAGTGTCATAATGATGCAGGAGACCTAGCAGAATTCGAATATTTAGAAGAAATCGCAGAGAACTCTTCGTTCTCTAGTCTAACCACTTCTTTTGTCGCGAAATTAGGAAAGACAAGCCTTAAAGATCGACTGAAACGAGCTGAAGAAAAGCTAGGGAAAATATCACTGAACGATACGAAAAACTGCGCCGAACACCTATCCGAATCATGCGACCAAAATGCGTAAGTCTTTCTTCACTACTCATGAGTAGTTGTCTGTTGTTCTTGACTGTTTTCACTATTTTCGTCTTCGTTTGCAGCACAAAACTGTTGGCGACGGACTGTTTTCTATCGATTGTTGATTGTGATACGAGTAAGACTGGGAAACATCGGTTCATTATTTTATAACGCAGCGTGACGAACAGTTGACGGGGGAAGCTCCATGGCCACGAGGACCTGCAGTTCACGGATGAAAACCGGCAACCTAAGCCCCGGCACTTGGAGTGGCGAACCACATAAGGCCCCTCTAGGTTAGGGGTGGTATTGAACAAGAAGAAAACAAAGCTGTCTACCACTTATACTGCTTGAAATTAATACCGTTATTAGATTCTTAGGTTTTCTGCTGTCTTGCTTTCGCACTGGAGACGCAATTCGATTGAGAATGTGGGACTCCAAAACGTTTAAGCAGCCAGTCCTAATAGTGACTTAATTCAGTTTTTTTAAAACCTATAGATTTCCACGCACAACACATTCTCCGTTTTTTGCTTTTCGAAGAAAAAATTTTGCGGTACGTCGCTTCTAGTGTTATTTCCGTATGTTTCCCGGAAAATTTAACTTTATCGCACTGTTGTAGTCAACGATGCAAGTTGTGAGTTCCATGTTGACGAATAGTTAGCCCTCAGGTGATCTCATTGGTTGCTCTGAATGGTTTTACCAAGGTTTTATCAAGCAACAAGCTGATAGCGGTCGTTATAAAAACTGTAAACGGAAACATAATTTCCTCATACATGCACTTCTGGCTTGTTGCTAGTACTTAGTCTGGGAAAATAATCAACTTTTCTGAAGTATGCCAAATTTGGATTTGGATCCTTTCGGAATATTGTAGTTGATCAATGATTAAATTAAATTTTGGAGGATGTTATTCAGTTACCAGGTTTCGTTTTTTCGTATTTTCCTTTTACAGGTCGGTTCCAGAAACAGTTACACGACAAGCTATCAGTCCCGATCGCTTGCCAGAGCGCAGTATTCTAGCTGTCTTAGATAAACACCGATCACGCCGTAATTCTGAACAACTGAGTTTAGGCGCTGATCGAACCGTGGACGGTATACTGGCCGAGAATAGAGGTCGCAAAGTTGCCCGATTTCAGTTTGTGCGGGAACAATCTCTATCGAGAGAGGACAGATCTTTTGAAAGCGATGCAGGCGATACGCACGCTCCTGATCATGAAATTTTACCGGATGGGGGTGAAGGTAAAATACCGCAACAAGAAGACGCTGTTCGTGGTTCCGTTGACTTCGATGATGGTAATTCATGGACCTGCAGTGCATCCGATTTGAACGAGGTTGTGGATCGTCCCAAGGTTTCTTCTGCTCAGGATTTATCTATGACAAGTGTTTCCCATGCTGGTAAGTAAATCAACTATCAAAGCCACATCGGTCTAGGTAGTTCGATTCAAGCCTTCTACCATGATATGATCATGTGAAATTTCTTTACGCGGTAAATCGGACGATGTTTGCCGAGTTATGCAGCGGTTGGAAAATATCAAGGGCTGTCAAACGAAGACCTGGCCAGATGGTATGCAAAAGCTTTCCAGGATACGGGGTCACAGTTCCCGTTATTCTTTTTGGCTGGGGACCCTAAGATCATGATCACCGGAGAACGCTCCTGGTGGTCTCCAAAATGTTTATAGTGAATGGGCATGCGGAGAAAAGCTGTGCGACTTAGAGTGCGCGGATGACATCGTTTGGATTTTCGAATCTACGGAGGATACGCAAAGTGCTCTTGTAGACTTTCAAGTTCCGTATCTTCATTGGATATGCGCTTTGCACCTTTATGGTGCAAAGTGATGCGACAAGATTGGGTGTCGCCTACCCCGGCTGATGCTTGATGGTCAAGAATTGGCTGTGGTTGAATGTTTCACGAACTTAGGTAGCTGCATGACGAATGACGGTAGCATAGTCAATGAAGTTGCCGCCCGCAGTTCCAAGGCTCAAACAGCTTACGCAGGACTGAAACACCTTTGGTGCAGACGTGATGTTTCGTTGAAACTGAAAGGTTGTGTATACTGCGCCAGTGTGCGGTCAGTTCTGCTCTGTGGTTGCGAGACCCGAAATTTGCACGTGGAAGACGTTCGTCCTCTAGAAATCTTCGACTGCCGATGTTTACGTAGTTTGTCACGGGTTGGATGTATCGAGCATGTAACCAGCTCTGAGACAATGATTTAACGGAGCATTCATCATCCCATCGAATTCAGATTAGTCGGCTTCGCTGCCTAGGACACGTATTGCTCATGCCCAACCATCGTCTACCGCACTGCGCCCTATTCGCAGTTGCGGCTCCAGGTTGGAAGAAGCCACGTGGAGGTCAACGGATGACGTGGAAACGAGGCTTGAATAAATACAGAGCGATTAGTTAGAATAGGTATCTCCCGTCTTCCTGTTTGGGGTCCAAGAGACTGCAACTGATTGGTTAGAGACACTGAAAGATATGGCAACGATCCGACAGCAGTGACGTTCTTATCAGGTCAGAAGGCTTGAAATGGTATGTATGCGGAGTTCGATTGTACACTCTGTGTCAACCATAGCTAGTTAATAATTGAATGAGTGGCTTTTACTCCTTCATTTATTCTCACTCGGCACTGAAACCCACGCTTGAGCTCGGTGGTATTGAGAAAAATCGAATCAATTGGAGGTTTACGACCGGTTGGTACACTTATAGCCATGCATGCAACGAACAAGAGAGTACGGGCGAACAGTCAATCGGTCAATCGAGTGGAGCGGTTGCCATATTCTTAAAGTGGTTTCTCGAATCGAACGACGGGTGACATACTGTTTATGTTCGGTGTTTTTAAGTGATTGTGGTAGATAGTGTGTATGTGAACTGTTTTTCATTTAAGTTTTTCCCATTTCGTCAGTTTTCAGTGACTAGGTATACTACGGAATAAACTCAGTAAGTGAAATAATAGCTATATATGCGATAAGTTGTGCAGCAGATGCTTTTTATGAAACCCTCGTGTTATTGACAACAGATTCGGTGGGCTCCATATTTATAAGAACATACCGTTCATTCGTGATAACCATCAACCATAAGGACAGAGTCTACTGCCTGCTGTACTACTGCGATTTCAACTTCAAGGTTTGGTTCTTTTCCGATTACTGTGTTCGCGGGAATGTGAAGTCTCCACCTGCTACTGCTGATACGATCGCTTCCAGTTGTATCATCATGCTGACGGCAAACGCCCGCCCCAATTTTTTCTGCTTTTTCTATTAGGCACCACACGAAACTTCGAATCGCAACAGAAGAACTCTGAATCACTCGATCGGGACTTACTGTCGCGTCGTGGAAGGCGATCATCTTCCCGATCACCCTGTACAGGAAGCAGTATAGCAAAATCCAGAGATCACCTGAATGAGTTTCAACCAACAAGACGTAATTCTTCGCGTCCTTTAAGCGCCAACACACACATGGGCTCCCGGTCCAGTTGCGCTGCTCGCATTGGCGAGTCCTCTTATGAAGATGAGCTGGTCAACCTGGCGGATGATTTTGTGGACCAATTGAAACGCGACCCGGTATTTTGACGTTTCTTTTGCACTTATCCTTGACTTTTCAACTGTTGCGCATTTCATTATTATAATGATTTACTGGTTTTGAAAGTTCCCGGAGGCATTAAAAGAGTTTACTCGGTAATTGAGGTAAGCCTGCACAAGATAAGTGTCCTTCTCGATAACAGGCTAAAATCCCCCGGATGCAGAAGGCGCGGGTTGGCACAATATTGGCTGAAAACGAAAGGATTTTTCGTTTGGTGCATAATTATTGACAAGGTTCTGGAAGTAGTTGAAGCAAACGCTGGTTGGCTCTGTCAAAGAGTATGGGGCCTCCTGCTTCTATTCTTGTTGAACTGCGACCGGTTGCCGTTCTGTGTGTGTTATATTCTCGTACCTATAAAATAATACCACTGCTCTGTATAAGCATTTCGCAAGGTCGTAGTGAATCCTGTGGATCTGAACACGACTGTCAACCCTATCCTGTAATCATAACCTCAGATTAATGACCTTGGACCAAGCCAAAGGCTATCGTGGATGAAATATTCTTATCCACTTATACCTTTTTTGAGCATGTTTAAGGGCAATCAAAGACAATGGTATGCTCTCTAGCACTTTATCTCAAAATTTGAGTCTTGATTTTTTGGGTTCGTCCCCACTATCTGATCTGAGATTGGACTATCATTTAATGCATTCTTTCTGATGAAACTCCGTGGTGGTGGTCAAGAGGCTTCAATTCACTATGCCGATTGTGCTTTTTGTCTTCGGATTAGAGGTCCGAACTCCACCACCTGCAACCAACTTTTATGGTAGTCGGTTTCTCTGTTTTCCGGCTAAATGCCATGCGTAACATAGCGGGACCTTATATGGGTTCTTCACTCCAAATCCCGGGGCTTATATTACCGGTTACTATGAGTGAACAGCATGTCCTTGTGATTATCAGATTTACCCCCTCTGCTGTTCATCAGACGGAGGTGTCAATGGAAAAAAACTAAAATGTTTACTTAACAAACGCGGATTGCCCGTTAGGTGGGACAACACTCAATTCTGTCGATAGAGATCTGCATATGATCCAAGACGAACCCAAACGAAAACAACCAATTGGATTCGGTACAACTGTGTTTCTGTATAAACGTACAAGTCAAAGAAACAGCGGTACCAACAGAACGTACCTCATCAGCGCAGCAGCATGAGTTGTATAAGCCACTCAAACAATGAAGGGGTTAGGCCTATAAAGAGTAACCACGGATTCGGATCGTTCAAGCGAGAAACCAGCTTGCGTAACCAGTGGACAAGGAATGTGCAAATGATGAAGAAGCTTCAATGAACAAGGACTAGATGTATGACTGGCCAATGCAGTGAACCACTGCTCATCGCTATTGGTCCAAATAGAAAAACAAGAAACACTAGCACATAGTTATTTAAGCGAGACGGACATAGAGGCGAGAGGAAGCAGTACGGTATAGACGAAGATGTAGAAAAAAATAGAACGGATCGAGGATGACTCAAGTAAGCTAAAACCAAATTGATTTCAAACGGGGATCTTCACATGGACATCCTGAGAATGCAACAATGTGCCTAATGGTTAAGGCATTCATTAATAGCTTGCAAAATAGAAATCACTTCTCATGGCTTCACTCGAGAGAATTTATCCATGTATTTGTTCCCCATCATTCACTATGAACGTTTTGTATGTTTAATTGCTTTCGGCTCCCCACCGAATTCAGCCAGCTTCTGGTCGATCAGCTGTCAATACACAAACAGTTTTGCGACAGTGGGTCTCGCGCTTGGAGGCTGAAGTAAGACGATTCAGAATGGAAAATGCCACTCTGCTTAAAATGCGTTCAGAACGAGATGAGGTGAGCTACAGCTTTTGTGAATTCACTGCTTATCGAAGGCTTGTGGGTCCTTTGTGAAGTAAAATTTGTCGTATTTAGCTGGGCGTCTGTCAGTCTTAGTGTCTGTAAGTTCCCATGCACTTATAAGAAATCTTGCAGGTAGATCTTATTCAACAATCCGGGGAAAACAATTGAGGAGAAGTGCAACCAGTGGGTGCATGCATTTATAAATTCAGCTATAAATTTTTGGGGAACAAAAAGTCTTATTGATCGGAGTGAGAAGTATGACAGCTTCCTGGCAGTACAGAATGTGGTGTCACTTAAATCGCCATGGCGCGTAGTGGATGGAAGAAGGTCGTATGTGGTCCAGCTAGCATCTGGCACGAGAGTAAGAAACCCTGACTGGGGACGTGGACATGGAGGTTGCGTAAGCTCTCCGGTTGGTGACCTCGGGATCAGTCTCATTGCTTGTTATAGTGCAAGGTTACTTAATTTATGAACCGAAATTGATCGGAACTGTGTAATAGTTTGGTGTTTTGCTATTGTTGAATTTTGTATGAGTTCATTCGCAGTGAAGAAAAAAACCTATTTCTAAGGTCTATACATAGTTAATCCGTCGACAGAAGAACAAGTATCCTAACATTTAGATTTATTAACCAAGCAATTAGCAATGTGTGATTAAAGGCACATGGGGAATCAACGAATCGAAAAATCAAATTATTAACTGTGCGATTTTTGTTTTGCAATAAAAATATATTTTTTGAAGTTCCCCAGTCGCCCTGAAACCATTTCATTGAATCTGGGTTTTACTTTCTCGTTGACTACATCATGATTTCAGTCGGATGCTAGTGTTGTTCCCATCCATTTCTAAGGGTGTTCTCGTAAAATGTGGTTTCATTTTTGCAACACTTGTATGCTACCGGGATATCACGATGTTTTTGTGTGATATTCTTCTTTGTCCGAAATGTTCTCGCCTTTGCGCTCTTAAAAATAACACAGAGCCTGCGTCGTTTGGAGGTGGAGACAAAGCGATTCGAAGAGTTCAAAGCTCGAGAAGTCCGTTTGTTCACGGAGATGAAAGAAAATGAAATGCGCAAGTTAAAGTGAGTGCAAATTTCAAGTTAATCGGTTGCATTTTTTCATCCTGGTACATATTATCCTTCCCCGTGGTCGATTTGGGGTAAACTTATGACTGGTGCAGATTAGCAGTTTTCTTCTGTTATCCAAGGAAGTTAAAAAACTTAGAGACTTGTTCCTTGTGCTCTTGTACGGGTTTTACTCCGGAGTTCAGTGGTTGCTCGCGTTTCTCGTACGCTCAGCTGCCATCATTGGGATAGCGCGCGCCTGTTTATAACGGATTCAAATAATACTGTCTGGCTGATTGAAGTTCTTAACTCATCCAGTTTCAGTTTTTATAACCGCTAACCATGCACTTTCGTGCGCCCGTTTTAGTTGCCGTCTATTGGTCGCCCAATTGGATGGAAGATCAAGATGAAAATTGAAATATTGAAAACAAATTCGTTTGGACTACGGTTAGGATAATAATGAGTATATGCGTCACCGCCCAGCCATATCACTCAGTGTCTCTAACCATCGTTGAGAATTATCTGGAGATCCACCGCC